CCTCGGAAAGTAATTTCTACCGGAAACAAACAAACAAGCAGATATGTAACATTATGTTATGTTATATCTCTGTACAATTGTGTCCTGTCTACTTATTTTATTCTCACATACTCAGCTATCCAGGAAACTCAGAACAAATTTGCAAAAGATATCTATTCAATTCTCATGTTATTCTGTGGACTTTATCTTCTTGCTCTTAGGGAAATAAGCTAGATCTGAAAATACCATACTTCATTGGTGTCATTCTGAGTTTTCTTTTTTAACACCACTGATGACGTTATGTTCTTCTTTGAATTTTCTGTTTTAATCTTTCTGTACATCTGCTATGTCTTTTTCGATCTTGCCTTCGAACAAATTGATATTTGTTCGTAATTATTTTGTAACTCTTACTTGCCTTTCTTGCTATTCTTCTTTTAACTTCCTATCTCTTTCTTCTCGGTCTAATTTTAATTTTCTCAATTTTTCTTCTTGATCGTCTTTCAACTGTTTTCTATTTACCAGTAAATTTCAAATCTCAGTTTCCAACATGTGTCTTCCTTTTAGAGTTTATTCTTTATGTTATTCCTACCAAATTTATTCCTTTTCTGATAACAGTATTGTAACAGTTTTTATTGTTGGACAGATTCTTATAATAATAAGTAAAGAATACGAATGAAAAATTCAGTGCAATTAATGAGAACGAGAGCTTTTTCTTTTTCTCTCTCTCTCTCGGGTTACAAGCTTGTTTATGTCTTGTAATATTATATATATTTTGAATTTATTCTTTGTCCTTGTATGTGGTGGAATGACCTTCTGTAAGTTGGTTCGTTAGCTTTCACCCTTGTGTTCATGCTAAATAACACCCATCGCTAGTTGAAGAACTTTTACAGTTTGAGAAGGCAACTATTAACTATTTCAAAGCATTAGAAGCAAGCCGACCAACTAATATTATTTTATTCAATGTAAATATATATATTTTAAAGAAAGTAAGCACAAGTTACAAGTTATCTTTTTCGTACACATGTAAAATATTGACCTCCCACTTGTTTGTTGGAAATTGATACGCAACTTCCTGGAATATTTTGATTGGCTAAACGTTTTTTGTGGTCTTTGCTAAGACTTTCCAGGCCTTAACTTCTATCTTGCGAATTACGCTTGGAACAGAAACGAGAAAGTAAGGAAAGGAATTCTATAATCACAAGGCCAAATCAGAATATATATATATATATATAAAATGAATGAAAAGTTTCCTGATGTTGCCGAATATTGGACAAGCCCAAAAATTGTGGTAAGCTACATAATTCTAGTTAAGAACTGAAAAGATTAAATTTAAACAGCCATAATCGTTACTAATAGTAATACTGCTACAGTGCTAGGCCTTTGATATTAATACTAGTAGTTTAATAATAATACTTAGATTTGAACGTATGATAACAGTATTGCTATTAGATACAAATAAAATATTATTGGCATTACTACTACTAGAGAAGCAGTGATTTCTATTGCGTAAAAATTTATGAAAGAAAAGTAAAATTAAAGTCATAGGCCTCAGTTGAGTCAACATAGATTTAATTTACACGTCTGCAATTGTTCTCGTAACGTGTACGTTGTGTAAGCTTCGTCTGTTACTGTTAGTCTTTTTTTTTTTTTAGTTTACGATCTTGTGAGTTACATCATTTATATGCTCATTCAAATGTATTATACTTTACAAATGCTTAAAGTAATACGAAATAATTCTCAAACTTTAGATTAAAAATAACTTGAAGTGGTGAATCGTTTTTTGTTTGTTCAAATTGTTGTACGACCCATAATCTAAATTTTGTTTTTCTTGTGAATATTTGAGTGTTTATAATGGTATATCAATGAAATATGATATGACTGATAACATGACATTTAAGAACAAAAGGGAGCAGTTATTGTTAATCCATCTAGGCTGTCCCATTCACTAAAGTTTGAAAACGACAAAAAGGATTAAAGCCAGCTGTTATTATTCAAGTATTTATCAAAGTATATCTTAAACTCTCTTAAATTTATTGCATCCACCACTTCTAAAGGCAACCACACTGTTAGAAAAATAAAACTGTCTTAGCTGAAGATGACTTACCATGCCAAAATTTATATATATCTATCCTATCCTACTATTCTCATGATTAAGTGTGAAAAAAGATGAATGTATCAATACTATTAGTTCCCTTAACAATCTTAAATAACTCAATCAGTTCCTCTCTAACCCTTCTACTTTCAAGAGAAAACAATTTCAGAGATCTTAACTTGTCTTTTTCTATCATAATTATCCTTGTAGCCATCCTGTGAACCCTTTCTAACAATGAACTCTGAGGTATTCCACTGTGACATTAATCCATTTTGCATGAACTCCATTTGTAATGACTTGATAATTTCTTCCATCCTGTGAGCTTCCTATCCAATGAACCAACTTTTACCCTACACCAATAGAGATCATTTTTTAAAATGACTTTTATGTGGCACATCATCAAATGCTTTCTGGAAATCTAGATACACCAAATCCACACCTTTACCCTTATCTACATAAGCAGTAACCTCTTAAAAAATGTTAGAAGATTAGTAAAGCATGATATTTTTCCTAGGGAAATCATGTTGAATATAAACAACAAAATTTTAAACTTTTCAAAAGGACTTTGCAAAGCATTTTTTATCACAATTTCAAAACTTTTCCCACTGCTGATGTAAGACTAAAGGGCCATAATTACCTGGATAGTTTTTATTATCCATCTTGAAAAGAGAAGTAACGTTAGCCAACTTTCAATCTTTTGGCACCTACCCACTGTTCAGGGACTTGCAAAAAATATTAGCAAGTGACTCGCATATCCAATGTATAATGATATAGTGTATCATGAACCAGCAAGCTATTCTTCTTGTTTCTGGAGAGGGTAATGTAACCACAGCATCAATGGGAAAAACATTAGTAATTCTAAGAACCCTGTTGGTTAATTACTCCCAGCCTATTGAGTCAATCTCAAACAATCTTGGCAAACTGATGCTTTAGACAATGTTGAATATTCTATATGATTCAAGGTCAAAGTATGAAAGTTGCTGGATTGTTTCTCAAACAACAATGCTTTTCTTATGATCAGTGAGATGTAGGATGTTCAAAATTGGGATCACCTCAAAATCTTTATTTGTTGGTAGATAGAAAGCAAATGTTGTCTATGAAGAAGCTTTGCGATAAGTTTAAAATTTTGAGATAAAGTTTATGTTCAAGTTATTACTTTGAAATGTATGATTGCTGTTAAACTTGCATTGTGTTGATGGATATTTCAGCTTGTGTATATATATATATGGATATAGAAAGATAGATACCACCAATTTTTAGTGTAAATCAGGTTAAGCAAGTGACTTGTAATTATTATCAGTTTTATTTAAGTCAACTACAAATCAGATTTATAGGTAGGAAATAATAACAAAACATTACTTGTTTTATTTTTTATTTTAACATTATTTTATTTTAATTTTTACTGTCATAAATAAGAACTGATGAACCAGCAAGCTAGTCTTTTTCCAAGAGCAGGTCATGTAACCACAGTGTCAACAGGAGTGGTGTGTCTGATTTAGATAGGTCTAGCAGCTAAGCTATGTAATGTTAAGTGTCTTTACAGTAGCAAACTTAATTATCTCTTTTGGAATTAGTTATGTTCAATATTCCTTACATTGTTCAGTTAGAACTACAGTGAGGTCTATCATATACCGAGTAAATTATACATGTTGCCCATTTAACACACACTAGTTGCAACATTTTACCATATGTTTTTTGATGCCTTGAATTTTGACATTTGAGGCATATTAACATTACACTAGCTTTTAGGATACATTCTTACATGAAGAAAATTCTCAATTAAGCACACTGATCACAACTGACAGTATATGCTTAAAATTTTTGCTTGTTGTTAAGCAAGTTAATTTTTATATCCTTACAACTTTCTAATATTCTTTTAATTCATTAGATCTCCTGGTTCAATAAACATGAGTTTTGTAATTTAACTATTTGGTTTTTTGAATGAGTTTGCAACATCCTGAAGATTTTAAACATGCATTTTGTTCCTTAATGCTGTTAAAGCTTTATTGGGCATGGAAAACTTAAGTACAATTGACATCTTAAAATCCCAAAACAAAACTATGTATACTGGCAGAGACTCTCAAAACATTTCTGGCCAAATTAGTATCTTTATTGTAACAGTACTTCTTTAAATATAACATTTCTAGCACAATACAAACAAATTGCAGTCGTAGACAACGAAATGTGTACATTCACTTGTATATATGCTATACTTTATAAAACTTTAACTTATGATAGGCCGAAGTTCAATAAAGAGATAAATTAACACTGTAACCTGCATACGTTTTTTTTTTATTTAGTTAGGACTAAATTTTACTGTAATTAATACTATCGATAAATAAACTTATAATGTTATTCCACGACCTAACTTCAAACCTTTTTTAAAACTTTGATAAGTTTTTAATATTCTGTTGTTCTAAGTGGTTAGTAAAGTATATTTACATTCTCCTTTTGTTGTTGCTTCTTGTTTCATACAGCAATTGTAGCAACTTGATCACTGAGCTTTGCAGCTCTCTGCCGCAGGCAGACTGTTTGTTGTCGAGTGAATAATGCACATGCGCAGTTTTTCTTGGAGAGACATTCTAACTAAGCATGCTTATGCAGCAGGTTCTCGGTCAGAAACCATAATGGTTGTACATACAAACAAGCAGAATAATAGTATAGATTTTTGTGTAATATTTTTTTGTTTGTTGATAATATGCTCATATGATCATTGTTGTGGCTGTATGTAAATCTTGGGGGACTACATATACCATCTACTGGATAGATTATGAACTCTATATTAGTTCTTAACTACCCCCATAAAGGGGCATGCACATGTGGAAGGTGGAAAAACGTGTACATAGTTATAATTGTAACCTATTTTGAACATATTGAATATTTTTCTGCCCCCCTCCATTACATTTGTTATATTCTTCTTACTCCACAATGAAGTTTGTACAGTTTAAAAATAAAAGTTGGCGAGAGAGACATCTATATTGAAAAAGAACACACAAACAACTTTATAGCTGCAGGAATTTAAGAAAGCACAAGCACTATTGAGGTGAGGTTAGATCAAAGGTTTGTAAGGTTGGAACACTGTTAAGATACTCTAGCTTAATGACAGGTTTGTGAGGTGGTTAAGGAATAACAAGCACCAAATACATGGAAGTGCAATATATATAGGTTGTAATTTTGTTTGATTAAATAACATTCCTTACAATTCACCATTTTATATCTAGAATGTAAAAAGGGAGGAAAAATTGGCACACCTGTTATAAGTATTGCACAATACCTATAATAAAAACATGCATATAGTACATCACAACTATTATTCAATTATTAGGACTACTTTTATTCATAATTACTGGATGTGCCCAAATTATAGTAATCTAAAGATATAGAAGTGTCAAAAAATCCCTTGTTGTGCACAATAGGGATTGTAGAGTATAGAAGTAATAGTTCACCATTTTATTCATAAAAAATGATATTTCATGTAAGACATTGTGTTACTATAAGCACTCTTTCTATTATGCTTGGTGTTTCATATTTTTTCACAAAATGAAGTTGGTTATTACTATCTGTTTGCATATTGTTTACTCATACAAGCTCTAAAATTTCAGGATGTAATTCGCCTTCCATTATGTAGTTCATAGTGTACTTTATTTTTAAGAGATCATGTACATGTAAATAATTTCTCTCTATCAAACTCTGCATTGTATTGTGTAAGTGAACTGATGATTTCTAAAACATAAGTGTTTTGTACAATATACATTTTGTGCTACACATCAGATAGATATTTTTATTTCTTTGATATCTTTAAATTTCTAAATTATTTGCTTTTTCTTCTCTTTTCATGATATCAATTTTATTTGTTGTAATAGTGAATTATTATTTATTTATTTTTTGTGCATTTATTACTGTCAAAACGAGTAACTAGAAAGATGAAGCTTGATTAGTTTGACTATTAAATGACAAGAGAATTCAATACATTGCAGTAAATGTTTGTAATTGCTACATGTGCTTTTCAAGATAATGATAAACTGTATTTTATTCCTTCACTGGTTAATCAGATCAGTGTAAGTTACCATTTTATTTTTGATAGCCCAGTTGCTTGTATGCAACCTCACTTAATTGCTTTGAACCTCAATTATAGTATAAAGTTGAGCTGATAGTGTGTGTGTGGTGTTCTTAGTAATGAAAAATTCCTTCAGATGTATGTAGTTCAAGGTTATGTAGATGAATAACAGTAGAGTAATTTAAGCGTGTAATATTTTCATTGTATACGAGTATCAGGGTTTAACATACTAAATTCATTACTGCTACTGTATATTAGGGCCTAATCCAAACTGATTTTGATGCCATTTAGTTGGCTTTAAATCCTAAATTCTGGCTCTTAAATATTCCCAAATGATTCTTCAATACCATAATAATGTTTTATAACTTTTAACTAAAGTTTGAAAAACATTTTTTTTGTGTACAATATAATCAAGTGCTTGTATAAAAGAAAATATTTTTTAAGATATAAAATCAGCTGGAATGTTAAATTCTTCAGTATATATTGTGGTACTGTAGTTGTTCCCAAATTCAGAAGGACACTGTCCGTAATTTAAATCTATATCGGACCTTGCACGTGGCCTGGTACATCCATTATAACATTCATTTATTAAGCTTGTATTATGTACATGCATTGTTTATTAACATTAAAAGTATACTTGTTTGATTAAGAATATCTGGAAAGAGAAGGGTTAAGCATAACTTTATGTTAATGTACGTTAACTTTTTTTTTTTGTCAAAAAAAAAGGGTGGTTATCTTAGATTTTATTTAGTGAATTATTTTGAAAACAAATTATCATTCTATCATGTGTGTGATTTATATTCAAATTAAGTAAAAACAAAATGTTTGTATATTTTCATTTCAGCTGAAATGTGTAGGCCCAAAACTGGTTCCCTTCTTCAAGACAGTAGCCATTTACTTTGTTTTGGCCATCCCCCGTGAAAACCCTTCCTGGTTTGCGTGCCTCATCAAGTGCCTTCCTGTTTTGTCTCTTTGTGTCTTTGTCCTCCTACATGGGATTAGCTTAGGAGAGAAACATGCCTACTCCAGAAGAATTTTGGCAGGGATGATTTTCTCGTGTATGGGAGATGCTTTACTAATCTGGCCGTGTTGTTTCATTTGGGGCATGGCTTCTTTTGCTGTCGGTCATTTTATGTATATTTGGGGATTTGGTATGCGACCATTCAACCCAATAGCTGGCTTGGTTTGTGCAGCTATGACTATAATTGGCTACTATTTTCTTTTTCCTGGACTTTATGGTCAGTATGTTTATCTTCATACAAGTGTTTCATAGTTTTTTTTACAATTGTATAGCTGTTTTTAATCTAATTTTATCTATTCACTGGTTTTGCAAATGATGATATACAAATTATATCCATAAATGAATACATTTGTCTATAATAAAGTTTAAAGGATCATGACACTAGCACATTAAAGCTTAACTTGGAACCACTAAAACCTTGAAATATTCAGTTGGTTGTTTAACTTTAATGAAAAGAGTTAATATAATTCTGAGGTTGATTTAAAGACAACTTTGAATCTTAGAGTTAAAAGGTTATTACAAAAATTCTGATTCTAAAAGTTTGGAACAATGGAGAAATTCTTAAAAACTAGGATCTGTTTTATGATAAATCTAAAAGGTTAGAGGTAATTTGACTTGCATGTTTAAAATTGATTGAAGTTGGATTATCTCACATTGATCTGTTTCATAAGAGGATTGGAAACACAGACTTTGGAAGGCCAGATTGATATTAATCTAGAGTATAATTATTTATCAGTTAAATCTTTAAGTTAGTAGAATATTTTGGTGTGTGCTTGTACAAACTATTACTCTAAATGTATCAATAAGTATGAAGATATGTAGGATAACATTACTAGTTTGGTTTTGTTATTATGTCAACTATTTTCACCTTTTGTGTGTTTGTTTGTCAGGTTTCTATAGAGGCCAGATTCTTTACAGTAGGTGTCTGTGACTTATTGACGATTGTACGTTTTTTCAACACTTAAGTTATTATAGATGGATGCTTTTAGAAACAGAGAATTGTTTTTAATCTATGGTTTAATGACATAATTGTTAATGTTGAATTATGCAAAATTATTTAAATGTATAATAGTTAAATATATAGGATACAAATGTAAACAGAGTTGTTTAATATATACATAAATTAATAGATCTGGTGAAAGGATTACTCATAAGTAAAATAAACTGAATTACTGTATTGCCCCTTACTTCTGCCTCGGGGGTGTTGCAAACTGCAAGGGGGCACTAATTTTTCACATGTGATTTGTAGATTTCAGTGCTGATAAGCGTGTGTGTTTGTTTTTCTTTTTTTTTTCAAATCAAAATTACAGTAATATAAGTGGATTATACATTGGATTATAAGTAAAGGATTATATGTTGTAGTACTATTACTGATACACAAGATAAGTTTTATAAAAATACAGCGGGGTATGATTAAAGAGGGGCTTTAATTAGAGGCAATACGGTAATAAGTGGGTTTACTATGGAGTTATGCATTAGAAAGATGCAGGTTACTGGCCCAATGTTTTACAGGTTTAATATATATCTGAACATTACCATTATAAAATATTTTACTCATTTGTACAGTTAATGAAATTTTCTGTTAATAAGTTTTGTTTTATTACTTATCACATGAGTTCAATATCAGAACTAATGTTTTTGTTTATATCCTATCTGTAGAAGATTACCAAATGTAGTTGTGTACTGTACCTGTATAAAGTAGTACATACCTTAAATGTTTTATCAAGGAGGTTGGATGTAATCATCAGATCTTTTACATTACTAGTTTTTTATTTTCTGTCACATGCTCTTGTCTTGAATATGTTGTTTTGTTAAATAATACCATGTAGTCATAGGGTTTTCATAAAGGTACTAGAAAGCATAAATCTACTGATTTTAAGTAAACTTCTACTTTTATTCAACATCTAAGTAACATTTATTTTATCAAAATATTTAAATTTTTACTATCACTGCAGCTGTTTTTTTTATCCAAAGTAAGAAAAAGTAACAAAATGCAATAATGTTGTGTATGCATGTAAACTACTCTATACTACATCTAAATTAATAGTTGCTAACAAAGTTAAAATAATAAAAATGTTAAATTTTGCATGCACACTAAATATGCAGAGTTAACAGGTTATATTTTATTCAAACACTAATGCATCATTTTCAGATGCTTTTTATACTACCATGTCTCAAGATACCAGTCCATTTAATCAGTTGTCTGAATTGTTAAATGTTCTCTCATGTATAGATGCATTGCAGGGCTCATTTTAGGTGGGCTTATTTTTTGGCTGTCTGTACACTTGTGCATGCAATTTTTTTTCATTAAAAATTTACATTATTTCAAAATATAATGTTTCCATTATGATTCTATTTTGTTGTTGTTGTTTTTTTTAAACAAAGTTCTGTTCTGTTCCAGGGGCTTATGCTTGGTCAGTTCCATTGTACATACTCTTATTAATGATCATGGTTTGGAGGGCTGTTGCCAGAGTTCAGCTATTTGAAGACTTGTGGACTTGGACTAAGCTTTGTTCTTGTGGAGGAGGAATCCTTTTTGCTCTCTCTGATGGACTTATTGGAATTAGAATGTTCCATCTATCCTCTTCTCACCCTTTCATTCAGACAGCTATTATGGTAACTTACTATGCTGCACAACTGGGCATTGCTTTGTCTGTGGTTGACAGCACAGCAATGGCTGTTCTTAGTGCAGCAAATAGCACCACTTCAACCATTAACTATTGTACCCCTATGAAAAATGAGAAACCAATGATTCCTATCAATTGTCAGAAGGTTGCAGAAAAACTTAAGAATGCAAAACTTGCCAATAATTCTCCAGAATTAGTTCTGTCAAAAGTTGAATAAGTTATTTTCACATTTTGGAGATCAGATAAAGAAAGAGAAAAAATTTTCATTGTGTATTTATGTTTTTTAAAGAGCCATCTCTCATGGTATGATAAAAGAAAAGCCTTCCTGTTTTACTTTATCTTTGTTGTCTTCCATAATGATATTACCTTTGTACCATGGTTGACATCTAATATGTTATTATTCACACAGATATAATCTATGTGTTTTGAAGTTTTTAGAAAAATAAGCAACCAGAAAAGAATGAAGGTTTAAACAAGTAGGTAATTATGTATACTGTACTATTCACACATATTTTGTATAAACAGATTTGTGCCAATCCTTTCTGTTAGACTGGGGTAATATTTCATATGTTCGTAAATTGAAAACTGATGAACTAAAACTATTGAATCATTATAAAATTACAGTATATTAAACTACACCACAATGATAGATATTTAACTTTATTTTGTATAAAAATTTAGTGTAAGTAATTAATCGTGCTTGTATATCTATATCTATTATATATATATAGCTCTTATGTAAGAATTCTGTATACAAAATGTGGTCAAACTACTTTACCAAAAAAATGTTGAAACATTCATGTACCTTGAGTATTTGTATTGTTGACTAACTTATCCTAATAAGTATTGCTAATAATGAGCAAAAATTATACACTGTGTATTTGTAATAAGTCAATATCAGGGTACTTTAATTATGTTGTCAAAGGTGGAAAAATATTTAGCATTAACTTAAAATATGTTGTAAGTATGCTAGTGCCAAAAGTAGCCCAAAAAAGCTTAAATCTTTATCTTCTTAATTTTATGAAACATGATAATGCATGACAAAGCTTGACTGTTTGGCTTAAAACAAGCTTATAAATAATGCTATTTAGATATTTTTACTTTTTTCATAAAACTATAGTAGAGGTGTTATCTCTATGTGGTTTAGAATGAAACAAAAAATCATAATAGCAGCCATTAACTGAATAATAAAAGTTAGAACAGCTGAGTTTTTAAAGCTGGAAATCTTTAAGCAGAAAACAGCCAGTTTTTTCAGGTGATAATTATTTTCATTGAGGTTCCAAGCTAGGAAATTAAGATGGGAGTCAGAATGACAATAATTACAAACTTTTTAGCAAGATACTTTATAAATTTTGACCATATAATTGAAAAATGAAAGCCTTTTTGTGTTTCTTTGGTTTGTTGAGTGAGGACAATTGTGTGTTTTCTCATCTCTAAACTTAAATTGTAACAAGGTAGGGAAACAAAAATATTTATAACCCCAGAACTTGAACTTGAATCAGTGTTATTTTGAATATGTAGTATGAAAAATGTGTCAACGATTTTGCTATACTTTATTGTTTTATATAAAGCCTTTAAATAAACTATAAATAACTGATATGAATATTTGTACCATAATTAATCATAAATGATAAAAACAAAAAATAGATGGGTGGTTCAATATAGAAAACATATGTTGCTATATTTAGTTTCATAGCTTGATGTTATAATGGAATGCTTTCATATATTTTATTCACAAGTAAATGTACTTTGATATGAATATTTTGAATATTTTTTGTGTAAAATAAAACATTTTTCATACAGACTATAACGAGATAGTTAAAGATGAGCTCTATATTCATAAATTAGCTAAGTCTGTATATATGTTCCCTACACCTATTATTTTCTCTTTTTATTGTGAGTTGTGAATATACCTATAAAGTCTACCAGCCAATAAAGTGTCAATTTTTTAAAGTTTAAGACAGTTTACATTATGATACTAGATGTCTCAATCAAATTTTTCATTTTCTGTATAAAAAAAAGAATGAACACTGTACATATTTTATACAAGTATTCTAAATGTGGTTTCGCTTAATTAAGTTTCTGATACACAGACTTGTAAGGTAATTCATATTTTCAAAACTTAGCATATAAATTATTGCATCTTTCATTTTGTTTTGATAAAACTATAGTAGAGGTGTTATTTCTATATGGTTTAAAATGGAAAGGAGAAATAATGATAGTAATTCTTAAATGTGATAAATTGGAAAAGCTTTTTTTTTTTTTTATAAAGTGTAGTGCAGTATTTCAGTTTAGAATCAGTATGGATTATTCCTTGTTAAATAACAAAAATTCAAATCTTCTAGACTTGTTCCCATAACGTTTAATTGGACATAATTTACTGGTTATAACTTCTTTTATAAACTGCAGTATTGAACAGCTTATTTGCACTTGTATATTTGTAAGCATTGTTCATAGTACTCTTTGTTTCCATTAATAATCTGAGAATGCAGAATCATTGCATTCATTCTTCCATTTAATTCACCACTTGTATGTCACAACAGAACTTTTCATGATTAATTTCTATGTTTATTTTTAGTTATAGACATTTCTTTTGAGAAAATTTTCTAGAAAAATAGGTTTGATTTAGCATTTTTGTTTGTCAGGTACAAATATATAGTGTACATTGTGTCTTTTATTTGTGTATACAATCCAAGTTTGATTATTCCTACTATTGCTGTTTTATTGTGTATGGGTGCATACATAATTTTTATATGGTCCTTGTATACCATATGTAATTTGTAAAATTAAGTAACGAAAATCATTAATTTAGGTTATTCAAGGTTTAGCTTTTGAGTTTATTGGTTAAAAATTAGAGTAAAATGTACATAGAAATTTTGGTTGTCCTGTGGCTACAAGAATGAAGTTCACTATCAAGTAAGTACAATTTAATATCACTCAATAAACTATTTATAGCAACATTTGCATCTGGTTACTCATAAATCCTCGAAATTAGGATACCAAGTCCATGAGAAAAAGATGCCATTGTAAGTGAATTAATTGAGAAAACACCTTGGCAAATACCATTCTCATTCTTAAGAGATTTTTTCCAATTAAAGATGCACTTAATACTTGAGCAGAGTACAAGGCAAGTTTCCTCACCAAGGTAAAAAAAATTGAAAATTTAAATTAGAATTTTACATTGATTAAATATGTTTGGTGAAATCATAAACTTTCCAAGTTAAATCTGTGGCATAAATTGTCATGACCTGCCCATATGATGCTCAACTTTCACTGGAAGTCAAAATCAAATGATATTTGTTTAAAAAAGTCATTTAATGCTTTCATGCTAGCAAAATACTGTAAGAGACTCCTAACAACTTTGTTTACAAATATTGATATTATTTTTTTAAAGTAAAACTGGCTTCTTTGTACTGAGCAAACAGAAAATATATTTGAAATATATCAAAGTGTTGTAAATTTAAAGTAATAAATTTCACTTTCCTCTCAGATACTACAACACTCAGTAATTCAAAACTACATGCCTGGTGGTTTGGGTGTTTAACTTGCAACCTGAGGGTTGTGGATTTGAATCCCTATCACTGAATATGTTTGCCCCCTTTTAGCTGTGGGCCATTAAAATGTTACAGCCAATCTCACTATTTGTTGGTAAAAAAAGTAGCCCAAATGTTGGTAGTGAGTGGTGTTGGCTAGCTGTCTTCCCTCTTGTCTATTATTGCTAAATTGGGGACTACTAATATAGGTAGCCCTCAAATAGCTTTGCAAGAAATTCAAAACAAACAAAACAATGTATGTATTGACAGAGTGCATGCTAGTTTTGGTTATGAATCATATTTTGATGAACCCAACTTTTTTTTTTTAATTAAACTAATACAATGTAAAAGCTAATAAATAAGGAATTATCAGTATTTCCAGCAGCCTACCCAAAATATTAAAATACACTTTAGAACTTAGAAGTGGAAACTAAATTTGTGTGATGTTACCTACTTACTTTTTTCTTAGCCTTTCCTTGAGTAATGTTCATGTAGGTGACAAAATCATGTAAACGGACAATTTGAGTGTGTGAAATAAATGTCAAGACAAACAGTTTATATGTTGCATATTTAATTAAAAGGACAAAAAGAAAATGTTTTTTTTCAATGATGGCATTTTTATTTGTTTGTTTTAACAGTTGTCTATGACATTTTCAAAAAATGCCATGGCTTTCCCGTATGCTGTCGTTAATTTCAAGGACTGCTTTTACATCTTATGAGTATTTGTCAAAAGTTGAGAACCTCATGTAACTAAGATTCGGTTTATGTTTTCATTAATTGTTTTGACACCAGACCAAATATTTTTACTTATTAACCAATTACATACTTTTTCCTCCCAGCTCTAACAACTTTAATGGGAAAAAATGTGAAGTTTTGTTTAGAAGTTGTAGAAAAGTAAGTCTTTGAGCATTTCTGTGCTGGAATGTCATTTAGTTATTTTGTTAAATAAACTTGTAAAAGATTAAAATATTTTCTACAAACATTATTTCTGACACGTTTTCATGATTGTCACTTAGTTTATTTTGGGTTTTGCTCCTTATTCATTCTTACTCATGTAAGCTAACAAGATTGTTTTATATTAATTTGGGCTTATTTGTAATAAAAGTGAAGTATTGATTTTTTCAAACTTCAGAACTTAATCTACATTTTATAAGGTTTGTAGAGAGTAAAATAACCTCTTAACCCAAAATAACATCAATGCGACCACTGTTGATATGCTTGTTTTCAAAAACAAAGTCAATTTTAATTATACACACATTTGATTCTAATTTGTTTACAGAGTTACTCCTGTAATTGCTTAAGTATTTTTGCTACAAATTTTCAAAATGTGTAACTATTTCATTTTTTCTTTTAATAGATATGTGGATGTTACATGACATCTTTACATGGTCTGGTAAATATATTAATGTAAACTTTTTTTTTCATGTAAATCAAAGAGTTGTTTTATTTTAGAATATTTTGTACCTTGGTTTTGGAAATCTATTACTGAAAAACTGAGAGATTTTAAACTGATAAGAGTAGTTTCAGGCATTATACATTAACTGTATCATTAGGAAAACAATGTTATTGTATCTTGCACACTTCATAAGGGACTGAGATTACCATAAAATGGAAGACTACACAGATCATTTTGAGATGGAGTTCATAAAGCTATTAAAAATTTAGCTGTCTGTGTAATAAAAATCTTAGCAGTATTTATGAAAATACTGTGGGTGCATCAGCTGCTGGAAGACTACACAGATCATTTTGAGATGGAGTTCATGAAGCTATTAAAAATTTAGCTGTCTGTGTAATAAAAATCATAGCACTATTTATGAAAATACTGTGGGTGCATCAGCTGCATAGCAATTTAGTTCCTACATAATTCTGCAAAACTACAAATAGAAAGTTTTATTACAACTTAAGTATGAATATTTTCTTCTTTATGCTCTTATTTTAATAATTTGATTGTTTCCCCCTCCCCAAATTTAATGTGAAAACTTCAACTATAGTACAAGTATGTATATTTTTCTGTTTGATATAATTTATTTGGTTATTAATTTTTTTTCTCTTAAAAGAGTCTGGGTGCGAGTATTTTTATGTTCTTTTTGTGGTTATTGGGCTTCTAAAGTCCAAGTTAGATTCATTGCACCTTTTCAAATGATCTTAATTTTAGTAACTTTCTCTTAAAACATTAACAAATTTACTAACAAACATACTGAATGTATAAACTGTTAGAGACAAAAAAATGTATTTATACTTTGAATGCAAAAAATTAAATTTTGTAATTATCTTATTATTAAAATTTTTGGCTTATGTAATATTAATTATTATTACGCTGGTGCAGATCAGTGTTTGAATGTTTAGTTAACAAAGAAAGCTTTGTTCCTGGTCAATTTATTCTTTAAAAATGTTTTTACTTAGTTTGCTTTAGTTGTATTTGCAGATTTGAATCCTTACTGGATTTGCTAAGTGCACAAATTATAAATTGTTTGTGTACTGATGATAGGGTACATGATTTATATGATAAAGCAACAATGATTAGTTGCTGTTGGCACAAGCTTGAGCAAGTGCAAGGCTTTCTGTATTACTTAATGACTGTGGTAACTTGAATCAAGTTGTGACTACTTTATGATTTACAAAGTAATCATATTTCCCTTTCTTTGTAAAAATAAATGTTTAGATTTGTTTCTCTAAGTGCTGTAATGTAATAATAATCAAACAAATAACAGCTTTTAAGTCTCATAACATTCATTGAAGACATTTATTATTTGGAGTGATACATATTGCTATGATACTCTAAAATATAGTAAGCTAAATCTAAAACCAAATTATTATTTCAGAAAACTGTAGTGGTTCAGCAAAAGACATCAGTGCAATAAGCATTTGTACTAGTCTTTCCATCATTAAAAACAAAACAGAATTATTGAAGGATTGTTTTTCTAACTTGGAATTAGAATATTAGGTTTTAGGTAAGTTAGAGTAAATTTTTGAGTCTTTTTATTGTGTGAATTGATTACTTTTAATGTTTAAATGTTGGTGCATAGCTTTCAATAAATTGGTTCAATTCTGTCATGCTTGTGTTTATTTTCATACATATAACACATTAAAAATTCATTACAAAGTTACTTTTTAAATATTTTCTAGAGAGTATTACATTGTGATTACACCAAGAAATGTCAATTGATCTGGGACACTTCCAAGATGGAGTGTGATTAACTCTAAAGGTTATATATATATACACACACACACACACACACACACACACACACACACACACACACACACACACACACATATATACAATTTTATTGTTTGATGATGATTACATTGTAATTGCAAATAGTAAGTGGGTTTGCAGAGTATTTGTGTGTCTGATTCCTAACTAAAACGTACTCACTCAAGGTGTAAACCTGATACGAAGACCTTTATCAATCTGAAAGCTTGTTTTGGATTTCAGAACAAAGCACAAAGTTATCTGCGCAAAGTACTGAACATATTAACTGGGGGAAGAAAGGTGTAATGCATTTATATTTTGAATGCAAAGAAATAAGCAGTCTATGCACAATGTGTTATACAAAATGAATCATTATATCTGTTAAAGACAAAAACACTGTGTATATTTCTGTTAATACATTGGATGTTTGTCTGCTACTGTATTTATTAATTGGTTAACTGACATTTTCACTCAATGTTTTCCCACAAATCAACTCACTAAAGGTCGTACTTAGATTGTTAAAATCTAACATTTCTTATTTAATTGGAGACATTGAATTTACCCATAGTGACTAGTGCTACCCTGTCATTTGCATTCAACATAGAAGAGTTTGTAACCTCTAGATATTTGCCTTACTAGTGAAGGGCACTGTTGTCATTGGCCTTCTTGTGCAGAGTTACACCAGTATTATTCATGAATGGAACAGGTATTATCTCTAAAGAAAAAACTAAATCAACAGTTTTCTGGACCATGTATTATACAAAACCTGCATAGATTTAGAATAGATACCACACTTTCCTTCCTTCTCTGTTTCAGGCTTGTCTTCAAGCTGACAATTAGATTTAATCTTAGAACTAATTAAGTTTATGGATGGTCCAGAATAACACTAACTTTTCATCTCTAAATGTTCAAATGCAACCTGTATGACACAACCCTTAAACAAAGAACTATAACTTGTACATCAAACATTAAAACTCTTTAACTAAGGAAAATGTAATACACTACTGAAGAAATAATAAAGAAAGCCTTTAGTACTTGAAAATATAAATATGTACTTCAACCTTAAAGAATGAAATGAAACACCTTTATAAGGATTAGTACATAGTAAAAAAATAGATCATTTAAACAATGATATAAACTAAATAAAAATCTAACCAAGAAAAAATGCACAAGTAAACTCTTTAACATAGACTATGGCTAGTGGTTATAAATCGATTATTAGAATACTGTTTAACTGATAAATTCAGTGAAAATATACATGAGGATATCAAATTTTAAGTCACATATCACATAATGAACCCTTTGGCAACTTGATGTACATAATGCAACAATGTAAAAATTTAGCAATTGAATTACCCTACTTTAATACTTAATTTCATAAATGAAGAGAAATGAAATCACATTAAAATCCAATGTATTACAATGAGCTCTTTTAAAGACTGTCAACTTTGGAATGTAGTATGTAGTGTAGGTGCTGACATTGCAAACACATCTGGCATTACTGATGATAAATACATTGTATTCTCTAATAGGACAAATGAGTTCTGTTTCTTCCTCACCAGTACTGGTTCTTACTTTGGAAATGTCAGCACTGGTGATGTGGTCAGTTGCTAGTAGGCTTGTCTCCTCGGGAGTCGATGGGGTTGTTGTCACTGTGACTTCCTCACTGATAAACACATTCAGTGGAGTCTTGATTTCCACCAGCCCTCCTTCTGCTGATGGGAGCTGCTCAGCCCTTGGAGACTTCAGGACCAACCCAATAACAGAAGAGGCAAGTCTTTCTATGTCTACTGCACAGGCTAGCGACGGATCATCATTAGACTGGAGTCCTAGGTTTTACAGCGTAATCAACTTTTTCACTGTAGGGAAAGTTATGGTGTACTAGTATTCACCACATTGGCTATCATAATGAAGCTCATAGAATTTGTTAGGATACTTTGGCAAACAAGGCAGGATAACTGATCACTGTCTGGTTAAAGAAAGATGCATCGAAAATGATCTTAAAAAGCGAAAATTCAGGTTGAAAATGCCATGGCGTGTGAATTCCAATTGGTTAAAAGTTCAGCTAAGTGCATAAGTTAAAAATAGTCATAACTGCTCAGTTACTAACATGGTTTGCTCTAAAATAATTTAAAATGAGGTCATGATTTTATACATTAGTGAAATTAAATTTCTAAAGGCCTTACGTGTACTCATACCCTCTATCACTCATAAAAGATGTATCCCTAGTGTCTGAGAATTTCCCAATCCCCAGACTTCTTTAGGTCTTTGATTGACCAATGCCTTTAGCCACACTGCCCTCTGTTATCTCTAGCAGATAACAGATAACATGGCTTACTCGCTAGTCTAGTATAATTCCTTTCCCTACTTTCCTGTTATCTCATGACCATATTCCAATTCCATTAGGAAGGAATGTGGTTGAGACTGTGAACTAATTCCTACACATATAAGCTGACTCGGGTTTGGCGACACCAACCCTTACTTTGACCATTAAATTAAAAATGAGTGGGGTCGAGACTGTGAAATAATTACTATACACATAAGCTGACTTAGGTTAGATGTCATCAACCCTTACTTTTGACTATTATCTTTCCTTAGAGACCTTCTTTCGGTGAGAAGTTAAGTACTAGTTTTTGTGTGACTTACAAAACTTTCACCATATGGGTATTACTTTCTACCTCCCCTAGTACATTTACAGCCAACATTTTCATGTGTTATTACTACATCCTGTGCTGAAACACTGTCAATAAAATATTCAGCAGAATTGCATGCTTGTTAAAATCTATATACTACTAAAACTGAGATTGTGTTTGCTTGTCTGTAATTAAATACAGCAAAAACGGCGCACAATAGCGCCATATTTGCAATGAAATGAGAATAGAAACAGAATAAAACAAGTTTCGTTAAAATCGGGTTACCCAGTTAGCGCCGTTTTGCGGGTCACTTTTATGAAAATTTCTAGCATGAGTAATTTTACATCACACTACCATTCGCGCTCTTTACGAAACTTCTTTGTTCAAATCTATTTCTCTGTCAATGGTCCCATCTTCATTAAAAGGCGTAAGATAACAAAAACAAGATATTGAATAATTTCTCAATAATGTGCATTGGTTATGGTAGGTAATTCGAAGAAAAGATAAAGTGTTACTGTTTCTTATTTGTAGAAGGTTTAAGAGGAAAGACCACAACATAATGAGCTTAATTCCTCACAATACCTGA